GTAACCAACAAGAGAGTTTGTCCAAGCTTCTCTCATCCCCCATCACTTTCCTCTCTCTCTCTCTCTCTCTCTCTCTCTCTCTCTCTCTCTCTCTCTCTCTCTCTCTCTCTCTCTCTCTCTCTCGTTATCGTTGCTTCAGCAAAACTTTTGGAAGCTTTCCCAGGCTGGAGCTATAGAATGTTTCCAGGAAAATGCATAAGGAGTGTCTGTGTTTTGAGTTTTCCTTTGGAAGGGGCTGGACATGTTTTTCAGAGACACTGAGGCCAGCCAGGGCCTGTGCAAGAGTCCAGCCAAGCAAAAGGGCAGACGCTGCTGGAAAGATCTGTGTGTGTCCCAAAAAGCGCTGAAATGAAGGTGTGGCTTCCCTGACCTGCCTGTTCTCCACCCCTTTCAGCCTTGTATTGGGGCGGTGGTCGGTCACCTCAATGGCGGTCTGAGTGGAAGCGCCCTCACGCCCTCCCAGAGATACACGGAGAACAGCTGGGGCCAGCGTCTGACCTTTGTTCTCCAGCTAGCCGTGCTTGTAATTTCTGCCGAAGGAACACTCTCTGATTTAGATGAAGTGCAGAGAGTCAATACTCACACAGCCGGAAGGCGCCCCGCCCAGGCGTGGAATGTAATGGGGAAAAGGTGTCCCGGAGATGGGGCTGCCAAGGGTGCTGCCAACCCCCGGGCCCTGCCAGCACTGCTCTGTCGGGCCCAGAATCGCACACACAGCTGCGTGCACACATGTATCAGGAACATCTGGACACACAACCAGAAAGTGCATCCGTGAGACCTGAGGGCAGGGGGACTCGCAGGACCCCTCCCCGACAGAAGTGGCTCTCTCTCCCAAGCAAAGGCAGCTGGGAGTTTCTGGAAATAGCCTCTTCTTAGGCTGGTTCGTGGGAAAAGGGGGCAGACAGAGCTCCTAGGAAGGCCGCCCTGAGTGAGAGCAGAGCCGCTCCAGCCACTCTCCAGGGGATACGCTGCTTCCTCCTGGGCCAACCCCTGCGGAATGCGGTAAGCACCTGGTAGATGCTAACGATTACGAGTCCTCCTCTGAGTCAGTGTGTTTGTTCCATATCTTGAGCACCCGAGACCTCCAGAGAGGAAGGGGCCTGCAGTTCTGGAAACCAGAGGACACCGCTCCTGGCTCTCTTCCCGCCCGTGCGTGAGTCTGAAGACTATTTACCAGTAACCCTGGAACGGGTCCTGTGAGATCTCTTTCCTTTCCGTCCAGGGAACACATTGACTCCAGGAGGCACCTCCCCACAGCAGGCTGGGAAGTTGCTTAACAGCCCAGACTTTCGGATAGTGATGCAAGGATGACAAGCACAGCTAACATTCATCAGACACCTCTCCCGCATCTGGCAATGTGCTGTGTTTTCATGCGGCCTCTCCTCTAATCCATGCCTAATGAAAAGGGTCCAGTTTTTATCCCCATTTTATGGGTGAAGAAACGAAGCTCAGAGAGATGAAGAAGCTTGTCCCAGCCCTGACCGCTTTGGCACAGTGGATAGAGCGTCAGCCTGTGGACTGAAGGGTCCCAGGTTCAAGGGCATGTACCCAGGTTGTGGGCACATCCCCAGTAGGGAGTATACAGGAGGCAGCTGATTGGTGTTTCTCTCTAGTCGATGTTTCTAACTCTCTATCCCTCTCCCTTCCTCTCTGTAAAACAAAAACAAAAACAAAAAAAAGAAAAAACAAAAAAAAAAGAAAAGAAAGAAAAAAGAAAAACAAATTCGTCCCAGGATACACAGCTAGTAAGTGATGGCTGAAATTAGAACTCAGGGTTGCCATACTCTCGAGTCCTTATCTGACAGGCCTGGGTTTGAATTCCAAGTCAGCTTTGTGTGCCTGTGTGACCCTGGCCAATCTCCAGGCTTCTTGATCTGTTTTCCTAATTAAATACACCACATATTGGCCATTTCATACGACTCAGCCTACATCTTACACAAGATGTTGTTAGACTGACGTAAGATAATGCATGCAGAGTACTTCGCTGAGTGTTCATAATGTAGTGAGCACCCAGTAGATGCTAGCTTTTCATCATCATCTCAGCGTCGGTGTGTTTGTTTGGAATCAATAATCATTATTCATAGTCTCTGTGAGTCTTCCTGAACCCTGAAAGGCCTCTCTCCTCCCCGTATGAGAATATCCGCCCCAAGTTGCTCACATTGCCGATGCCGGGGGAAATAACGTCTAATCCTTTCTTGGTGACTCAATGTGTGCCGGAATCTACACATCTGGAGCACACATCTGTATCCTAGCCGCCAATTCCTCCCTTTTGCATTGCCCACTCCCATTCACTCGGGCTCATTCAGGGTTCCACGTTTTCAAAGTCATTCCCATCTGATCCCTGCCTAAAAAGCCTGCCAAACGCCTCCCAGGATCCAAACAAACTCCTTCACGGGGACACGAGACCCCTGGGAAACTGCCTCCAGCCCTTCTCTCTGTCTCTTCCCACCCCTAGGTTCCTCGGTTCCTCGCTGACCACATGAAACCCCTCTTTGTTCCAGGAACGCCACATACACCTTCAGGTCCAGGCCCCTGCCGGCCTTTCCTCCGCCCAGGAGGGAGGTTTCCCTTCTTCTTCTCTGAGCAAACCTGTATACATCTTTCAAAACCCAACACAGCGTTCACCATTCCTGTGAAACTGGCCTCCAGCATGTCTGTCTCCATCCTCCACAGCAGTCTGCAGGTGTCACAGAGAGTGGTGACTACACACCTTCCCTACTGGCGATGTGATATAGTTCAAGGCCAGGGCTTCCCTCCTATCCCCAACGTCACCAAGAAGGCCTTCAGTACATGTTAGTCAAAAGAAGGTCCCTGGGTATAGATTTATATAATGTAATTTTTTTCTCCAGTAAAATAGTATGTGAGTCTGTCTGTATATTATTTCTACCTTCCCTGTTCCAGCAAGAATTGGAGGTAGATGTGAATATAAAAATCTTTCTTACTCATAAGCAGATAGAGAATAGTGCTTGTATACATCCCATAGTAGAAAGAGCCAGGGCTTTCCAGTCAAAAAGTTCTGGGTTCACATCCTAATTTGGCATCTGACTGTGACTTGAAGGCATTACTTTACTTCTCTTAGCCTCTGTTTTCCCATCTGCAGAACGGAGATAACAATAATTAGCTCAGTGGGAGATACTGTTGATTGCTATTCAGTTGTCACTACTGCTCTCTTCCTTAGTGCTCTGAATTATTTTTTCAGAAGTCCATGTGCCTGGAGTGGGGTGGGAGAAATCCTGATTCGTGTGAACTTATCTTGGTAAGTTTCCCTTGCTGGTGATTCATTCTGGCATAGATCTGTGACTCCATTCTGGTCAGTGAGATGCAGAGAGGGGTGTTTACGGTGTGTGTGTGTGTGTGTGTGTATGTGTGTGTGTGTAAAGAGAGTTGTTCTAGGAAATAGTCTCCTGCTCTTAAAACATGAGAGAAACAGTTGTCCTTCGGCAGCTGGATGTGATGTCTGAAGTGATGGCAGGGGCCACAGCAGCCATTTTGCTGTGATGATGACAACTACTCAGAGAATCAAGCCAACAGAGTGATAGAAGGGAAACATGGCAAGTGCCTGGGTCTGGGTTCACTTTAGCAGCTGGATTACCCTGCTTTGGAGCCACCCACTTCTGGGCTATTTCCTGCGATCACCAATTCCTTTCTTGCTCAGTGAGGGACCACTGGCTCCATCCAACAGAGCTGAGGTTGCTGTTGTTACTTGCAGCCAAAAGCATCCTGACAGATGACCATCACAGGGTGGTTGTGAGGACTAAATAAAACAAAGTTTGCCAAGTCCCTAACAGTGCCTGGGACACAGCAGGCTCTTAAAGATTAAAGACTTTCCTGCTGAGACAATCTGAGGTGAATTCGTGACTAACTCTGATGAGTGACCCAAAGAATGTGGCAGAGAGTAATAAAGTCAGATTTAGAGCCGTTCTCGGAGGTGGGCGGGGGCTGGAATGACAACAAAGATGACGATGACAATAAAACTCAAACGCTGCGTTAATAAGTGTCTGATGGAACTTCTCGAGGCCGTAACAACGGTTTTCCTTTGTTCTCCTCGGGCCTCTTCTTACCCGGGGTCAGAGTGAAATGCTGCGAGACACAGGCTTTTCCAATTGTGGTCAGCCACACTTGCACAATCGGGGTGGTCCCTGATTTCCCTGGGGCATGGAAGCCCTGCTCCAGGATGAAGGCTAGCGTGTAATTTGTAGCTCCAGGAGGAGCCAAGGTCTGGAAGTAGAACTAACATACAAAGCGAAACGGCCTGCAACTGGCGCAAAAGCACAAAGCCTGTCCCTTCCCAGGCCAGCCCCGCGGACGTCTACCACTTGGGAAGGCCTGCACTGGGGGGCCCCGGGCCCTGGCGGGGACCAGGCCACAGAGCTCCCTCCATGACAGCCCCGCGGCCCTCCTGACCCTGTTCCAGGAGCGCTCAGCCACACCAGCGGCTGCCAGACTCACGTCCGCCCAGCGCGTGGGCGGCCCTGGCAGCAGGGGATGGAACAGGGTTTGTGCGAGGACATCGTGGCCCCCGCGGCAGGGTGGTGAGAGGGGCGGCCTCACTTCCGGACAAGCCGGGAGGGATGCTGGAGGAGGTGAAGAGCAGGAACTGCAGACTCCAGGCAGCCTCAGCCCCGTGTCCAAGGCCCTCCTCACGCTGGAAGCCTGCTCCGGGCTGTGTGCTTCCGGTAGGCTGCGCCCCTGCCCAGCCCGGCCAGGTCCAGCACCCACATTCAGTTCTGTCCACCAGATATTTATTGGGAATACTCCATGCAAGGTGCCATAGCCCTGCCAGCGACCGGGAGTGAGAGAGATACGAAGAAAAAAACACGATGAGAGCAGAAAGGACCTCAAAATGGTTTTCAAATTTCTTTCAGCCTCTATCCCTACTCCCCAACCCCACCGCAAGGCCCAAGTATTCAAGAAATAAACAAAAACGTGAATCCAGGGCAGGGGCAGGGCTCTGTCTCCTCAGACCAGAGACGGCCTCCATGGACAGAATCTGAAAAGCCCTGGTCTAGACTAGAGGAGAAACTGAGGCCCAGAGAAGTGAAGTGACCTCCGTGAGGCACACCCCAGCCAGGTTCAAATTCAGGTGTCTGAGCCCCTGGCCCAGCGCCCTGTCCATTGCAGGGCCTGCCCCGGGCACGGTGTCAGAGATCAGCAGGGGAGCTGAGGGAAGTGAACCAGGAATAGAATCCATGTGCTACAGACTGGTTAAAGTGAGCCAACGGTCTGACGCAGGAGAGAAACATCCATCTGTGGAAGAGGCACAGGGCTGGGCGGGGGACAGGATGGGCAGGATTTGCCAGGGAGTGCTGGGGGTTGGAGGGGTGGGGAGGAGGAGGAGGTAATGCAGGCCCTGGAGAAAATGATCTACTAAAGTTCAGCCAGCATGGCTCAATGATTGAATGTTGACCTCTGAACCAGGAGGTCACTGTTGGATTCCCAGTCAGGTTGCAAAAGGGGGTGTACAGAAAGCAGCCGATCAATGATTATCTCATCTTTGATGTTTCTATCCCTCACTCCCTCTCTTCCTCTCTCTGAAACCAATAAAAACGTATTTTTTTTTTTAAAAAAAAGGATCTGCTAAAGACTGAGGAAAGACTGTCAGCTCAGAGTCCTGGGTTCTAGCCCTGGCTCTGCCATCTCAAGAAGTGACCTTAGGTCAGTGGTCTCCCTGTGTGGGTTTGTGTCTTACCCATAAAATGGCAGAGGGGTGAGCTAGAATGTTCTACGTGGGCTGTAATGTTCTTCTATGATGCCTTCTCCCTCCAATGGGGGGTGGGGAATGGGAGTCCCTGGCGTAGTACAAAGCTGGCAGCTCAAGGGGCCCGCCCAGAGTTTGGGGAGCAGTGACAGAGCATGAGGAGGCAGGAACCGGCCAGAACTGGGGCAGGAGCCATTCCTCTTCTCAGAAGGGTTCCTTTCAGTCCAGCCCAGGCCTCAGCCAGTTCTGCTCTACCTAGGCCCACCACGAGGGGGCAAAGGGGGGAGGTCTTGAGGGTGGGGGGTTACAAGCCACTTAATAGTCCCAAACCTCAGCACTCTCATTTTCAAAATGAGGTAAAAACAGTACCTTGGTGTTCTCTGTTGTGAAATGGATCATTTTAGTATCTCAGATGATGAGATGAGATAATGCTTGTCAGGTGCCTAGCACGTGCCTGGTGTAGAACAGCTCAGTACAATTGAGATCACATGCATTGCCAGAGGGCTGCCTGCTGGGGAAGACCGCACAATTTGAAGGCTCCTGACATTAAACAGGCTGGTTTGAGTAGGGCCCAATGCAGGCTCAATCACAGGAGGGGAGAACCGTGAAAAGGGGCTGGCGAGATTGGTGAGAAGGCGACTAGGAAAATGTGTGCGCGCCCCCTGCTGACTGGGAGAAAAGGTGCAGGCCTGCCGGCTGAGGAGCCTGGGGCATCCTTATTAGCTCAACCTGCTGCGACCTGACAGCTTGACCCAATATTCACCAGGTGTCACCCACTTAGCAACGTGCCAGGCTTCGAGAGGGATGCAAAATGAGTGCCAGGGAAGCTAGGTTTGGGGGCCAGTTCGCTTTAGTGTCAACCAGGCATCAATTCAAGCTCAGAGACCACCCCAGAAATCGTGTTGGTTACAGAAGCAAGCAAAGTTCCTTGCGTCTTGGACTTGTAGTGTGCGTGGAGTGACCTTGGGCAGGCTACGGGGTGCCTCTGAGCTTCGGTTTTCTCATCTGTAATAGGCAAGTCTTCTCTACCTCAAACCAGAGGGTAGAAACCCTGGGTGTGGGGTCGCAAGGACTCTGTCACTTGGGAGGAGTTGAAAGTCACCACCAACAGTCATGTCGCAAGGGAAACCTTATCACTTTGAAGCTGGGCTGTCACTTGGTTCCTTCGGAAGAATCTCTGTCATGCTCCTGTGGTATGCCAGGCTCCCCAGGTCTCTTTCCCCGCCCCCCTCCCGCCCCTACACACACCACACGCCCTGCAGACCCGGGCTCAGGCCTTCCTGCTCCTGAAGAAGGTGAGAAAGTGAGTCATGCAGTTCCCTGGTAGAAAGTGGGTTCCGGGCAGAGAAAATGACAGGTGCCAGGGCCTCCGAGGCAGGAACATACCTGGTGACAGAGAGGCTGTCCTGGAGAAAACAAGGGAGAGGAACAGGACATGTTGTTAGAGAGGGCATGGGGCGGGGCAGGCGGTGTCGGGCCTCGGGCCATTGGGAGGACACTGGTGTTTGTTTATTCTGAGTGAGAACGGACACGGCAGGTTGTGAGCAGAGGAGTGATGTCATCTGTCCTGCCAGGTGTGCCAGGCGCTATGCCCAGAGCAGGCTCGTTCTGCTGGAGGGCAAGGGTTGGAGAGCAGGGGGTGGGGGGCAGGGCTATTGGAGGGACGCAGGCAAAGGGACCAGGGTGATGGTGGCAAAGTTAGTGAGAAGGAACCCACTTCCCAAGGTACTCTGCAGGGAAGGCAGCTGGGGTGAGCTGCAGGAGCAATCATTCATTTTGATTTCTGTAAATATTTCTTTTGCATATTTTGTTATGTGTCCCTAAGGTCCATAGGGAAAAGGACCTGTGTCCATACACCCAGGCAAGGTGCCCACTGCGAGGCCCCATCCAACTCCTGAGTGATGACTCTCACCTCCACAGTGGGAATAGTGTGAGGACAACATGCAAACTCTGTGGACTAGATAAAAAGAAGCTACTTAAAAAAAAAAAATATATATATATATATATATATATATATATATATATATATATATATGTTTTTATTGATTTCATAGAGGAAGGGAGAGGGAGAGAGAGATATTGTAGAAACATCAATGATGAGAGAGAATCAGTGATCGGCTGCCTCCTGCACGCCCCACACTGGGGATGAAGCCTGCAAACCCAGGCATGTGCCCTGACCGGGTGTCGAATTGTGACCTTGTGGTTCATAGGTTGATGTTCAACCACTGAGCCATGCCAGTTGGGCAAGAAGCTACTTTTATTTATGAAATATGGTCAAGCGTCCCCCCACACCTTTTTTTCAACCACAACAGGTCATTGTAACCCTCTTCTGAAAGTTCAGAAATTAGCACTTGTCTTGTAAACAGGACATGGCAAAGCTCTACTTAGAGAAACGTGGTGGGAAGGGTTAATCAGGGTGGGCTTCCTGGAGGAGGAGTTTGACTGACTTCCTCTCTTTTCAGGCGAAACCAAGGCTCGGTGGCATTAAATAACTTGCCTGAGGTCACAAAGCGAGAACCTGGCAGAGAGGCGCTTGTGTCAATGCTGGTTTGGCTCGGAAGCGGCTGCTCTTGGCCAGGTGCTGCCATGGTGACCGGCCTTTCCCATTAGAGAAGAATGATGGCCATTCATGGGAGCGCCTGGGACACGATGATCTGAATGGCCGTCACTCGGTCAGGGTGGAGCATGGGCACCGGAACCTTGGCACAGATCCTCAGTGTGGGGATCTGAGGTGTGCCAGGCCCTGTGCCCAGAGGTTCAGATGCATAGTTTCATTTAACCTTCCCTTTGCTGGTCAGGGGAATGAGGCCTGACAAGGTGACTCTTCTCACCTGTGAGTGTCCGAACGGAGACAAGAACCCCAGGGATCCAGTCATTTAATGTTGGATAATGATGAACTTGAAAAGTTAGTGGCCTACAACGACAATTTATTATTTCTTTTTTTAAATTTCTTTATTGATTATGGTATCACATAATCGTCCTCATCCCTCCATTCCCATCCCAAACCCCTCCCCACCTATGCTAGGCTTATATGCATGCACACAAGTCCTTTGGTTGATCTCTTTACCTCCACCCTCCCCTACCTTCCCTCTGAGGTTTGACAGTCTGATCGATGCTTCTCTGTCTCTGGATGACAATTTATGATTTCCAATGATTCTGCGAGTCGGGAACTTGGGCAAGGCTTGGCGGGTTGGTTTCTCTGCTCCCTGTGGCGTTAGCTGGGGTCACTTGCTTGGCTGCACTGAGCTGGTGGCTGGCTGCATTGGAAGGAAAGGGCCAAGAAGGCTCTACTCCCAGGCCTGGCGCCCCAGGGTCCCTCTGCAGGGCCTCCCTCGGCCAGCCTGGTGGCTTCGGGGGGCTGGGTTTCTTACCTGGCAGCTGGCTTCGGAAGGAACAAAAGTAGAGCGAGCAGGCTCCTGCAGAGCTCGCTGTGGAGCTGGCACAGTGTCACGTCCACCAGATTCTACTAGTCAGGGAAGTCGTGTGCGGAGGAGGAGGAAGAGGGGATGGATCTCTGCTTGGCGGGTGCTGCCACTCTACTGTAAGGGGACCAGACGTCCCGCTTTTGGCGGGACAGTCCCTATTTTTAACAATCTTCTTTCCAAAATCTTCTTTCCAAGAGTCAGGACTTTTTTAAAACGCCGCGGGACGTGGGACAAATTGCCAAAAGCATTAGTCTGGTCACTTTATCATGCTGGGATGCGTAGTGCTTGTGGCCACAGGGGGAGACTGACACAGGTCCCGCCTCCTGGCTGCCAGCCTCTCTCCCAGACCCTGGGCCCCCTCCCAGGAAGCCCTCCCCTCCAGGGATGCACCAACGCTGCCGAGGCCCCCACCAGAAGGGCTGTGCCTCCGCGTTGTCTTACCTGGTCCTCCCGCCCAAGGACTTCGTGCTCCGTGCCTGGCTTCCTGAGGCTTTATCCTACCTGGTTCCTTCCAGGGCAGTGCCAGTTTTCCTGACTTCCTGGTTGCAGCCCCTGAGTTAGCCTGACGTGTCTTGTCCTCAGGAACCTGGTACGTGGCTCGTAGGTCGTCAGCCACCGGAACAAGACGGTATCGGATGCATCTTCGCAGGCCCAGCATCAGCACCGGGTCTTCTTAGAAGAAAAGCTCAGGACACAAGACTTTCTGTAGAGGGCCTCCGGGGAAAGAAATTGTCAGCTGAGCCCGAGGCACTGGCAGAGTCCTGTTTCTGCACCTTGGGGACCTCGTTGTCCCGCATGATCACCTGGGTGTTTGTGGAAACACAAACCAAGAAGGTGGGGGGTGTGGTCAGTTCTGACTTACCTTTGTCCAGGTATCAGCAGGGGTGGGTCTAGATATGTAAATCCAGTAATGCTAGGG